TATTCCCTGATAATTGCCGGTATTTCTGAGGGGTTGGTTGTAATAATTCCATTTTCATTCATAATTTTGTCTATTTGGGTGCTCTCTCTTTTCTTTTTGAGAAGCCTGGCTAGAGGTTTGTCAATTTTGTTTATTTTTTCAAATAGCCAACTCTTGGTTTCATTGATCTGTTCAATTGTTTCTTTGGTCTCTATGTTGTTTATTTCTGCTCTTATTTTTACTATTTTCTTCTTCTACTGGGTTTAGGGTGTTCTTGTCACTCTGCCTCTAGTTCCTCTAGGTGAGCTGTTAGATTTTGCACTTGTGCTTTTTCTAATTTCTTGAAATAGGCCTGGAGTGCAATGTACTTTCTTCTTAGGGCTGCCTTTGCCACATCCCATAAAATTTGGATTGTTGTATTTTCATTTTCATTTGTTTCCGTATATTTTTAGATTTCTTCTCTAATTGCCTGGTTGGCCCATTCATTCTTTACTAGGATGTTCTTTAACCTCCATGTTTTGGAGGTTTTCCAGACTTCTTCCTGTGATTGATTTCAAGTTTCAAAGCATTATGATCTGACAGTGTGCATGGTATGATCTCAATTCTTTTATATTTATTGAGGGCTGCTTTATGTCCCAGGATGTGATCTATCTTGGAGAATGTGCCGTGCGCACTTGAGAAGAAAGTGAATTCCCTGGCCTCAGGATGTAGAGTTCTAAATATATCTGTCAGATCCATCTGGTCCAATGTCCCTTTCAAGTCCATTGTTTCTTTTAGTGATTTTCTGATTGACCTATCCATTGCTGTAAGCGGAGTATTAAAGTCCCCTGCTATTAGCACATTCTTATCTATAAGCTTGTTTCTGTTTGTGATTAATTGTTTTAAATATTTAGGTGCTCCCATATTTGGTGCATAGACATTTATGATTGTTAGTTCTTCCTGATGGATGGACCCTGTAATTATTATATAATGCCCTTCTTCATCCCTTGTTATTATCTTTAATTTAAAGTCCAGTTTGTCCGATATAAGTATAGCTACTCCAGCTTTCTTTTGATTTCCAGTAGCATGATATATATTTTTCAATCTCCTTACTTTTAATCTGAAGGTTTCTTCCAATGGAAAATATGTTTCTTGTAGACAGCAAATAGATGGATTTTGTTTTTTTATCCATTCTGCTACCCTATATCTTTTGATTGGAGCATTCAGCCCATTTACATTTATTGTTATTATTGAAATATGGGGTTTAGGGTCTTTTTGTACTTTGTGGGGTTCATGCCTGTGGTGGTGTCTCTGGTATCTTTGTTCCTTGCAACACTTCCCTCAGAGAGTCCCCCTTAGGATTTCTTGTAGGGCTGGTTTAGTGGCAACAAATTCCTTCAATTTTTGTTTATTTGGAAAGACTTTTATCTTTCCTTCTATTCTGAATGACTGGCTTGCTGGATACAGGATTCCTGGCTGCATATTTTTTCTGTTCATCACATTGAAGATCTCCTGCCATTCCTTTCTGGCCTGCCAAGTTTCAGTAGATAGGTCTGTCACCACTCTGATAGGTTTCCCTTTGTATGTTAGGGCCTTTTTCTCCCTAGATGCTTTCAAAATTCTCTCCTTGTCCTTATATTTTGCCATTTTCACTATGATATATCGTGCAAAAGATCGATTCAAATTACGTCTGAGAGGAGTCTCTGTGCTTCTTGTATTTCAACATTTACTTCCTTCCCCATGTTGGGGAATTTCTCTGCTATAATTTGTTCCAGGACTCCTTCACCACCTTTCCCTCTCTCTTCCTCTTCTGGGATTCCTATGATACGGATATTGTTGCATTTGACTGTATCATTGAGCTCTCAAATTCTTCTTTTATATTCCTGGATCAGTTTGTCTCTTTTTTTCTCAGCTTCTTCTTATTCTATAATGGTGTCTTCTAAATCACTTATTCTCCTTTCAGCCTCTTCAATCCATGCGTTGGACGCCTCCAGTTTATTATGTATCTCATTTATTGCATTGCTTTAATTCATCATGCCTATTTTTATGCTCCATGTTGTTTGTAGCCATAGTTTCTTTGATGTCCTTTATGCTTTTTTCAAGCCCAGCTATTAATTTTGTGATTATTGTTCTAAACTCTTGTTCAGTAATGCTGCTTATATCTGTTTTGAGTAGTTCTTTAGCTGTCAATTTTTCTTGGAATTTCTTTGGAGGAGAGCTCTTCCGTTTCATCATTTTGGTTAGCTTTTTATCTCTTGTTAGTTTTAAAGACTTGTTATGCTCTCTGCACCTGTGAGCGCTGCTGTACCCAAGAAGACTCTATGACTGTCCAGGGCCTATCCTTTCAGAAAGTGTTGTTCGAATGGCATCTCCTGGTCTCTCTTGTTGAGGCCTTGGTTATTTTATTTTCCTACTCGTGGTATTTGGGACTCTCCACCATGTGTACTTTGGCTTGTTTCTTGAGGTAGCCCTCGAGAAGAAAACAGACAGACAAACACACAGGGACAGAGGCACACAAATGCACAGACAAATCCAACAAACATATAAACTGAGAGAGAAAACGAAAAAGTAAAGAGAAAAGACAGAGGAGGGAAGGCGAATAATAGAAAATAAAAATACATAAAAAAGTCAAAAAGAAAAGAAAAGGAAAAAAGAAGAGAACTGATAGACAAAGAAAGGTTTAAAGCATATAACCAGATTTCCCAGCTACAATTAAATAGCTGGGTGTATGCAGTGCTGGTTGAGGAGCATAGAGAAAGAGAGAGAAGGCAGGGCGGGGATGAGACAAAATTGGAAATAGAATGAACAGGCAGAAGGGATAAGAAGCTTTTTTCAAAGAGCTTAAGGGTGGAATATGATTGGAGAGGTGAGAGAAAGGCGCTGCTGTTATCCAGAGAATCTATATAGTCTATTTACTCCTGAAAGGAAGAGATGAAAAGGTAGGTAGGTGTAGAATTTCCATCTACAGAATGGACTAAATGTGACTGTTTAAGCAAGCCAGTGACCAGAATTAATCAGGTCAGTGTTCCGGAAAAAAGGAAAAAAAAGAAAAAGAAAAGAAAAAAAAAGAGGAGGGCAGCTCTCTAGCAGTGATGGGTGTGGTGCGATCTAATGCATCAGGCGGGAGCTCTGCCTTGGCAGTTGTGGGGAGAAGAGTGGCAGCACTCCAGTCCCTTCTTGAACCAAGCATTGCACCTCATTTTTTTGGGTGTGTAAACTCCCCGTGCCATGGGCGAGGCCAAGGTGGGTCACGCTCTTTAGCCCAGGCCAGGCCTCATTTCCAAATTCCAGTCCGTGCCCCCCACCAAAACTGCTGTAGACACAGCCTCGCAGGGGATCCCCTCAGGGCAATTCCAAGCCTGTTGCCTAGCCCTGGGGGTGGAGCCAGAATTGCTGCTCCTGTCTCCTCCAGGTTGGGTTGGTGGGCAAAGACGGGGGTTCAACTGAGGGGTGCCTCAGGTTCCCTGGAGAGGGGGAAACCGGGTCCCTCTGTGACCCATCACCTGAAACACGAACTCGTGGGCAAATCTCCCAGTTTTAAGTCCTTCACCTTCCCTGTAGGGATCCAGCCCAGCCAGGAGCATGGATGCGCGGTCGGTGTGGCCCCTCCAGGACAAGTTGGTGCTTGGAGATTTGGCGTGCACGCAGCTGTTTTCCCGGGGATTGTTTGGGTCAGCTGGAGTGCCCACGACCAGGTCCTTCTGTGCCCTGAGGGGAGGTTTTTCTGTTCCCCAGTGACAGCGACCATGTCTTGAGCAGTTTCAGCCTCTCTCTTTCCCCTCTCACTCCCCGCAGAGGGGGACCAACCCTGTCCCTCTGCGTCTCTGATCCCCACCCAATTTTATCTTCCCCAGTTCATACTCACGTTAGAAGTCTTTCTCAATGAACTCTGCGTCCTTTTTCCCCCAATCTCTTGAATTCTGTCAGGTTTTCTATGGCTTCAGATCTTCTTCATGTGAGGTATGGAGGTGAGTACAATGTACGGAGCTCCCTACTTCGCTGCCATCTTGCCCCCTTCCTTGAGTTTTCCATTGCTAAGCTAAACAAACTAGTTCTTCAGCATTCCCGACTGACCATGGTTTGTCAATAGTATGTAGAAGGAAGGTAATCAATGACCAGACTAGAGTTTAGTGTGAAGCCATTGCAGTCTACACCGATCTGTCTTAAACTATAAAATGTAACTTGCTAAAATTAAAAAGTTTTCTTATTTATTCTGTTAGATGAGAAGTATTATTACAAAATAATTTGTAAAATATGTTACTATTTCAGTATATTTGCCTTCCCTTTTGATACTATGCCTTTGTATTTTATGTAAGCATTTAAAAATATTATTTTTACAAGTAGTCAATAGACATCAACAGATCTCCAGACTGGGCCATGACACACACATACATACACGCACACACATACACACCAATCGTTTCAGAATAGCTCTTCTAAGTAGTTTATACACACTCAGATAAAACCTCCTTCATAAATTCTTCAGTTTTCCCTATATAGATAATAACAATAACTATCATTTGCCAAATGACTTCCTAGGTGCCACACAGACACTTTATATATACTCTTCTAATAAATCTGCACAATTTTGTAGGTTATTTATTATCATCTGAAGTTTAACATATAGACCAAAGAATTTAAGTAAAAACTGAAGGCTATCCAGAAATCATGATTTTCTTACAACAGTTTTTCTACATATTTCATTCCTGTTTAATATCTCTGTAGCTGTGTGGTCCTTAATGCTTTAATCAATTGTGAGACTCCATATTATTTATCTCAACATGCCTTGTGGCAGTCAGCACAGGTACTTATACATAGTGGGTACTCAGCACATATTGATTATACAAATCGAAGCATGGACTTTAAAGAGGGGAAGCACTACATGAAAATGAGAAAATAAAGAGGAGAAGCAAAGATAAAGGAAAATAATAAAAATGATAACAAGGAAAAAACTTAAGCTCATACATTATGTATTTAACATATGAATATTTTTTATTGTCAATTCATTTAGATTCTGTTAGCTATTACAAGTTTTTCTTTTTTTTATCTTTGTTTTGGCCTTTTGAATTTATAAGACCTTAGTGAATCAGTTCTTCACTACATAAAAATTCTTAGTAACAAAATATAATTTTACAAAATGAGTTATTCTATTCATAGATTCAATTTATTTTCTAAATTAGCCTACTTTTCTTTCTAGGATGTCTTTCTAATCCTCTTAATGTTAATAATATATTAGCCTTTTTTTTTTCTTTTCTAGAAATAATTTCTCAATTGCTCCATAGGAAGTAAATGCTTATTTTTTTTCCTTTTTTCTTTTAAGGACATGAATAAGAGACTAAATAAGGCCACAAAGTTCATACAATCTCATAAACCTTGATATTAAGTCTCAGAAACCCAATTATTCTGGTATAAACTGCATATTTTTCTAATAATAGTATTATTTGTTGATTTATTTACTTTGAACTGTTCACTGTTGAGCACTTTAAAATAAATCACTTAAATTAAGCTTGGCAAAGCAAAAACGAAAACACCTATGTTTTATTATTTCTTAAACTTTTCACATTAGCAAGCTACAGAATCGGTAATTTTAGAAAATTGCTATGGTTTGTAAAGTTTGTAGAGTTGACAACAGCCTGATTTACAGACTTTTAAGTTCTGTCTTTCACAGACCAGTCTTTATTGAGATTCTGACATACGTCAGGCTTTCCTGTATTCTTTTTAAAAACCTGTTCATTTATTTCTCACAAAAAATAATAGCAGGGCCCTTAAACATTTTCTTTCTCTTCTACAGCACTGCTCATGGAATAACTGTTGAATGTTTACTATGTGCCAGACAGAGGTCTAATTGCAGGGGATAAAGCAATGCACAAGGCACACCCTAATCTCACGGAGTTTGCACTTTAAAGATTTACTCTTTAACCAATGGATTTCTTAAAAGTTTATTGTTTAATTTCCATATATTCCTACAATCCTGTAATTAACTTCTAATTAGATTCTACTGAGGCCAAAGAACACACTTTATATAATTTGAATCCCTTTAAATTTATCAACACTAGTTTTATAGTATAATAAATGGTATATGTATATATCACTTGAAGAAAGGTGTTTATTCTTTAGGTTTTGGATGTAGTATCCTATAAACACCAGTTATAGAAAGGTGGTGTTCAGATATGTTTTTATTTTTGTTTATATTGTTATTATTATTGCCTGATGGTTATATCAATTGCTAAGTGGCATATAATCTTTTACCATGATAGCAGAAATGTTTATACTCTATCTCAGTTTTATCAGTTTTGCTTCACATATTTTGAGGCTCTTTTATTAAGCCTATAATTGATACTTGTCAATTTTTTTCTGATGAAATTTCCTTTTCATCACTATGAAATATTCTTATTTATCTCTGGTAACACTCATTTCATTGATTTTTTTTCCTAAAGTTAATATGCCCACTCCAAGCTACAAATTCATTCTCTTTGCTTGCACAAATTTCTCTCTATCTGTAACACAATTGTGTCTTTATGTTTAAAATGAGTTCCTTGGGACGCCTGGGTGGCTCATTTGGTTAAGCAACCGAATTTGGTTCAGGTCATGATCTCACGGGTTCATGAGTTCAAGCTTTGAGTTGGGCTCTGTGCTGACAGGATCAGAGACTGGAGCCTGTTTCAGATTCTATGTCCTCTCTCTCTCTCTCTGCCCCTCCCTCCCCCCTCCCTCTCTCTCTGACACACAAAAATAAACATCCAAACATTTTTAAAAACATTTAAAAAAAAACCCAATAAATAAAATGAGTTCCTTGTAGCCAATGAAAAGTTACATCCAGGTTTTTATTTTCATGCTGTCTTGAATAATCTTTCTTTACTCTTTAGAAGTTGAGTTTCTCTCCATTATAGTTTTCATCCAGTTGAAAAACTTCGAACAGCATTTCTTGTAAAGCAGTTTTATTAGTCTCAAGTGTTTTTTATTCCTTAAAGTGTCCGCTTCACATTCATTCTTGAAGTGTGTATAGAATTCTGTGTTGACAGATTTTTCTTTCTTTTCCCTTCCCTTTATTTTCTTCTTTTACTTTCCTTTTTTCTTAACCCATTCAAATTTTCCCCTGTATATAATTTTTCATTTTTTTCTAGTTGCTGTCAAGATTCTTCTTTAAAAACTATACTAAAATATTAATTAATTAATTAAAGTGTTTTATACATCCCCTCAAAATGACATTTCCTTATATGCATCTTTTCATAGTTGACTTTATGAATATAGGCAGGTTTTCTTGAATTTTATTTTGTTTGGCATTTTCTGAGTTTTTGACTTTATAAATACATGATATTCACTACATTTGGAAGCTTTTGTACATTTTTTTTAATATGCCCTAATCTTCCCTTCTGATATTCAGGTCACTATATTTTAGACCTTCTACTATTACCTTATAAGTTGCTGAGACTCTCTGAATTTTTTTTCAAAATTTCTATTTAGTCTTAATGTTTTTTCTTTATGGTTTTATGCCAGGTGATTTCAACTGATCTTTTTTCAGGTTCAATGATATATCCCACCGTGATCATATTTGACTACTGAGTTTCTCCAGTGGAATTTTTTCATTTCGGTTAATATATTTTCTATTTATGAAATTTCGATTTGGTGCTTTTGTACCACCCTTTATGTCAGTTACATTTGTAATCTTTTCACTCATCACAAATGTGTTCTCCTTTACTTCATGGAGCATAGTTAAATAAACAATTGCTTTAAAGTCTGATAATTTCACTATCGGGCCTTCTCAGGGTTGACGTCTCTGATATTTTCCCTTGAAAATGGCTCATGTCTTCCTAATTTTTTCAAATGTTAGGTCATGTTTGAAATGTATCCTAGATATTTTAAATATTATGTTATACATGCTCAGGTTCTGTGAAAATCACCTGGAGGACATTAATGCTTTTGTGTTAACAATCAACCCAGGTGCTTCAGCCAATGATGATAGATCCTATCTTGTCTTTTGTGAGCAGTGATTCAAATCTAAGTAACTTTCTCTTATTCTCTTATATTATTTTATGTGTATCATGGAAATATAGTGTTTGGGGGGTTAGATTAAGATTTAATTTGTGTAAATTCATGTGCAGAATTAGACAATTCTTCCCCAGATCTCCTCCTGGAATCTCATTTTCTTCTGTCAGCCAAAGAGTATTCTTTTGCTACTATATTCGGCCAGCAAAGTTTCTATCAGAAGTCGCAACCTCCTATGCTCCACCACTCTGTGAGTGGGGGAAAATGTCACAGGGAAGAAAAATAGTTAAAATCACCTCAATGACTATTGCTTCTCCAAAATTTGACCACCTTCCAAAATAAGGCTAATATGATTTTTTTTCTAGAGTTCTTTGATAGGTTTTTCCAAAATTTATTATTTTACTTTTAAAAAATTGTTCAGAGTTTAAAACTGCAGTTAGAATGATACATTAACTCTATGAGACTTACATTCCGGGACCATAGAGCAACCAGGATCCTAGGGAATGATTTTGCTTTTGTTTTTAAGGTTAATTAAAATTTAAAATAAACCTGTTAAGTCTCCTTTCTGATGACACATCACTTAATATAAATCCGAGTTTTTTGCAATCAATTTAGCATGTTTAACTCTGTAAGTCAATTTGAAATAAAATTTTTTAATTGAAGGTTTATAATATTTGCTCAGTGTTCACATAAAAAAGCCAGATATAGGTTTAAGTTAGTCTTGTTGACCTATATATATATTATATTCCTATTTATTTTTATTGTATTTTTTGCAGTTGTGAAAGATTGCTATGTATCATTTATTCTCTAAACTTAGGAAAGACTGTGAACTGCATATGTATAATTACATTTAGTGGGTTTATTAATTTTTTTAAATGTTTTATTTATTTCTAGGAGAGAGAGAGAGACAGCGTGAGCAGGGGAGGGTCACAGAGAGAGGGAGTCACAGACTGAAACAGGCTCCGGGCTCCGAGCTGGCAGTCAGCACAGAGCCCGGCGCGGGGCCCGAACCCACGAACT